GATGGCCCCAAGGCAGATCTAGCTTTGGGTAGGCTAAGGCTGAGATCCTAGCAGACAGCCTGAGAGGGTGGGTTCAGACCTCCTTCAGTGTAGTGGCTGGGATCTCAGCTCTTAAGTGCCTACATTAAAGAATTAGAAAGAGCCCAAATAAATGACCTAACACTGCAACTCAAGGCACTGGAATGGCAAGAACAAATGAAAGCTGTTAACGTTCAGATAGGCCTGCCCCCTCACCAACAGTGTCTCAAGGACTTCTCAAGCTCTTGAGAAAAGGGAACCAAGCTGATATGCTCCCTTGTCTTTGAAGTCAAGAGAAGCAGACTTTTCTCCACTGTTTGGCCAACACAGCAGGCTTCCCCTTTGATCTCTAAAGAGAACAGGTTTTAACAATCCTGCTCTCCCACTCCCCTCCCTGCCCCCACTTTAAAAAATGCATCTTCCTGCCTTCTGCAGGAAGCAGAAGACTCCCTTTTTAAAAGACCCCCAGCTCACGACCTGGGCAGACATTTTCCCTGCCAGGAAGGAAATCTATACCATGTGTTCCTTTGCTAATAAACTCTGCTTTCTCCTGATAAACCCTGTTCGTCATATGGCCACTTTTTATCTATCAAAACCCAAACCCAGCATAAGAGAAGAAATAACAAAAATCAGAGCAGAAATTAATGAAATAGAAACAAAGAAAACAATACAAAGAATCAATGAATCTAAGAGCTGGTTCTTGAAAAAATAAACAAGACAGACCCTTAGCCCAGTTAACCAAAAGAAAGAAAGAGCAAATCCAAATCAACAAAATCAGAGATGAAATGGTTGAAACATCACAACAGACACCCAAAAGATCCAGACCATTATAAGGGAATATTTAAAAACCTTTATGTGACTAAATCTGAAAGTCTAAAAGAAATGGAATAAAAATCTGAAATCTTGGGAACCTCCAAAGATAAACCAAGAAGAGATCAACAGTTTAAAATTTTTATTTATTATTTTTTTTTATTTTATGTGTATGCATGTATTGCCTGCATGTATGTAAGTGTACCCGTGTCATGCAATGCTCATGGAGGACAGAAAAGACTGTCGGATCCCCTGGAACTGGAGTTATGGACAGTTGTTAGCTGCCATGTGGGTTCTGGGATTCAAACCCGGGTCTTCTGCAGGAACAACCAGTTTTCTTAACCACTGAGCCATCTCCCCAGCTCCTGAGATAAACAGCTTAAACAGACCCATAACATATAAGGAAATTGACACAGTAATACAAAGACTCCCAACTAAAAATGCCCAGGCCCAGATGGATTTAAAGCAAATTCTACCAGACATTTAAAGAAACCCTCCAAGCAATACTACTTAAATTATTCAAAATGGTAGAAACAGAGGGAGAACTCCCAAATTCCTTCTATGAAGCCAGCATCACCCTTAATACCCAAACCAGGTAAAGACACAACCGAAAAAGAAAACTGTACACCCATATCCTTAATGAACATGGTTGCAAAAATTCTAAACAGAATACTTGTAAATCGTATACAGACACACATCAAAAAGGTCATTCAGCATTATCAAGTAGGCTTTATCCCAGAGATGCAGGGATGGTTCAATATACGCAAGTCAATAAATGTCATTAATCGTATAAATGGACTCAAAGACAAAAACCACATTTTAATCTCAATAGATGCAGAAAAGGCTTTTGACAAAATGCAGCATGCAATTGTGTTCAAAGTCCTAGAGGGAATTGGACTGGAGGGAACATACATACCTCAACATAATTAAAGCTATATACAACAAACCCACAGCCAATATCATTCTAAATGGAGAAAAACTGGAAGCATTCCCATTAAAATCAGGAACCAGACAAGGATGTCCACTATCTCCACTCCTTTTCAACATAGTGCTTGAAACTCTTGCTAGAGCAATAAAACAGGAGAAGGAAATTAAAGGAATACTAATTCAAAAGAAGAGGTCAAACTATCACATTTGCAGATGATATGATACTATACCTAAGAGATCCCAAAAGTTCCATGAGA